ATTTATTGAATCTTACGGGTGATCATTCTCCTCTAGCCGCAGAATTCGCGAATCAAGCGATTCAATTCCTTCGCGCAGAGATTCTAGAGAACGGGATATTTCGCCATCCTGCGAGTTAGGCTCAATACTAAGGGATATTGCCCTTTGCCGTTCCAGAAGAGATAGTTTTATGTGATCAGCGAGGAGGAAGAGTTGCGCCGGATTGCTCATCGTTGCGCCTGTTCGCAAGCAGACGGGAGGTGGAAGAGCTGACGGCTAGCAGCGATACAATAAACTAAGCGCTTCGTACGTGACTCTGTCGGAGACCTTCTGAAGAGCGCAGCTAAAGGATTCCAAGGTGAGATGATGTTGGAGATAGATGTGATGACTAGATTTCTGTTTCAGTCATCTAATGCTAACTGATACGGAAAGCGCTTCAGGCTTAGCCAACTATGCCAGAAGTGGTAACCTTGGAAGTCAGGAGACGCTAATATATAAATCACGTGGTATATCTTCTTGGGATTTTGATCCTCTTTCCCTTTTCATCGCCGTTCTTATATTCATTTTATGGGGAACATCTTTCCATGCTACCAGCCTTCCCTCGTCCCAATCCCTTCTATTCTTCGCAACGTGACTCTGCGGACTTGCCACAAAGGTACATCCATGCACTTGACACTCCCCGAGGGATCATAGTTGACAGCCATCTTTTGCGTGTTGAACGCAAGGCCTACCCACAGAAGATAGTATTCTTCTGTGAGGCTCATCCCACCAGTTCTGATCGCAGTACTTCCGCAGATAATGAATAGCGTCCAGGCGACGGTTTTCTCATTCGAACCCGCATAGGACAGGCTTGTGAGTGTAGGCTTCCGCTTCGTCCATCGCCCCGACGAAGTAGAGGAGGTGGATGACACACTCATCCCATATTGAGAAATTGATTGCTATTTTACTTTGAACATTGAATTCTTTTGCACGTAGATTGCGCAGGCTGTTAGAGGTTGGAGCGCTTATTCCCTGGGACCGTAACTATATGAACTTAACCAAGAAGGTTTTTGACCTTGGCAAACGAAACAAGCTGCATTCAATTATTAGAGATGTGTGAGAAGGTTTAAATTCAGCCAAACGTATCCTCTACATTGCGGAGTATACATACCATCCTAGCATGTAGTTCTGCAGCAGATGACTTTTGCAATGATCTTGAGAAATATTTTTCAATTTCCACCCATTTCACATTCGCTCCACACTGCGCCTCACACTGGTACTTATTTTTCAAATTTCGCTTCACTTTTTGCTGTTTATTTAGGTCTCAATATTGAACAAAATACACTCAATTGTTGGAAACCATAAACGATTCCCGGTTTCAAGAATTAATCACATGACCTCCATCCGGGTTTATCACCTCCCAACCCCAACCCATTTCTTTCCTGACCTTTCACTTCATTCTATAGTACTGCATATATACCTACTTACCTTTGTTCTAACCGTTGACCGTTTTCTACACATTTTTGACAGCCAGGCTGCGGTTTCTCTTCCTAGCCTCCCAACAACATCACGCTTCTGAACGTTGTTCGGATTCTCGTGATTCGAACTCACTGGGCAAGGAATATCAGATCGCATTCCACGCAGCCCAGTTTGCCCTGTGTTAGTTACACAGGGAATGGTTGTGATGGAGAGTGTGAAAGATGGAGGATGACTATCTCGAACCTGATTCTCTCGTGGACCTTCGAGCCCTCGAATACGTTTCAACCTACGATGGCCATCTGATGTGCCCGATCTGCCACTGCCCGTTAATACGCCCAATTCGATTGAAGTGCGATCATATATTTTGTCAGAAATGTCTCAATTCATGCATCACTTCATCCCCATCACACATACCTTATGCGCCACCTTCCGATAACTTTGCCTGCCCCACCTGTCGAACCCCAACCATGGCAACGTTCATGAAAGTCCCTCGTCTAATAATTAGCATGTGCGATGATTTGTGTGTGAAGTGTCCGTTTGTCCGTCAAGGGTGTGAGGAGATAATTCAACGGGGCCACGTACAAGCTCACGTGGATAAATACTGCGACTACCGGCTCATGCGTTGCCCCGACCCAAATTGCAATTACATGACAAGGAAGAAGGATATAGACGCTGACCTCCGATGTTTACATGAATTACGTACTTGTGATAATTGTGAGGAATCTGTGATGGAGCGGGATTTTGAGGTATGCTAGTTTTCATTTCAAGGTCTGTTATGACATCTGAATACGACTTTCCAGCTGAGGCTCTAAACTTCACAGATTCATACCAAAGAATTATGTTCAAGCCTGAAGACCGAATGTACATACTGCCACACAACCATTTGTCGAAGTGAATTGCCAGAGCATTTAGAGACTTGCCATGAAGTCGAGAGGACTTGTTGCGCTGCGAAATTCGGCTGCCCAGAAAAGTTCAAAATGGAGGCACTTAAGCAACATGAGCAATCATGCATTTTGGCAAAACTAGGCCCGTACCTGGATGCTCAAGCTTCTCGAATGGAATCGATGGAATCGACAATAAAGCAATTGCGCCAGCGAAATGAGATTCTTGAAGATGGCATTGCAAATATCCGGTCGATCCTTGGGGGCCACGTGTCTCCCCTGCAACCCGACCCTCAAACAGAGGTTTCGCCTATCATCAGAAGTGACTCTCCCCTGTCTTTGTCATTCGAACATCTAGATATTTCCTCTCCTGAAGCCTCAAATAATCCAGCAAACGACCCCACGGATGGTGTCTCCCCTCCATATCAAGAAATCGCCTCCAGCCCATCCCCATCAAACACCACCACCTACCTTCTTTCAATCCACGAGTCCCTGAGAGAGGAGGTGACTCAACTTTCGAATGCAATATCCGATATCGATGCACGAGTCAACATGTCTATTATGAACGAGGGCATTCGGCTCAGAGATGAAATGGCCCATATAAGCGCTGGTGTCAACGCTATTCGGATGCAGGTCCATTGGCTTATGAACCCACGATTGCACCAAATCCAAAGAGCCGTTAACGCCTCCTCTACTACAACGCCTTCTGCTGGTGATACCTCTCGGAATGTGGGGGTTGCTACTGTTGGTGGGCCGAGTGACAACCCGTCCAGCCCTCCCCTGCCGAGTTACAGAGGCCGGCGCCTCAGTGATGGTAGCCGTGAGGGAACAAAATTGTAGTAGTTACGATAAGTACACAAGATTATTTTAACGGTAAAATTTGATTTATGTTGATGAGGGAATGTTTTTACAGTGGCATATTTTCCTTTTGTTTTTTTTCTTTCTTTTTTTTTTTTAGAATGCATATCCCTGGAGTTGTATCACAGTTTCACGGAGCAATGGCAGGCACTTAGGAGCCGAGGACTGGTAATGCTTTCTATTTTGTTCAATTTCTTTTGCTTTGTTGTTACATAAGGGGGGTGAGTCATGCATGCATGTTGTGAAGTTTTTAAATCGTGTGTTACTAATGAGCATTAATAGTTTCTTTTCCATCCTTGGATTCATTAATCAATACCAAAACAATTTACCCGAACACGAATTCGGGAGCAGATTTATATCATCCATATCGGGGTTCAACCCCCCCCCTCCCCTTTCAGTCCTGGCTAAATGCGCATATCCCGTCAGTATATCGTGAGGAATCTGCTGGGCGATTGCAAGCTGCTAGGTCGTGCTTAGCATTGGAAAGTTCTGGCTTACCTTTGGTTAGTTAGCAACCTGGTTAGGTAGATAGTAATGACTCGCCCCGATCATATGGTGGAAAAGAATATCTACCCTGAGAATTAGGCTTATTGAAGTAAGAACAGGAGCTTTATCGACAAGACATTGCATTGCATCTATCATATTTTGCATGGCATTACGATACTGACTCTTTTATCGGAGCACCCCAAGTCTTTAACAAGAAGGCCAAGAAATTGTAATGATAATTCTATATATCATTTAAAAGGAGAAGAAAAGAAGAAAAAAAATGCGACCTAAAGATTAACAGATATATGTCGTTCACTCCTTTGTTGTTCCAGGCATATTCAGCAGGCCAGCCAGTCACTAATACCGTCGCGAGTCGTCGTACCTGCCTGGCGGGGCCTGGTAATAGTCATACGTATGAGCTCCTTGTGTGGGAGGTTGGTATTCGCTAGTGTTTATGTTCTGACGATAGTTTTCATACCCAGATGGTGGAGGCATCGTGTATCCAGGATCGTCATACGACATCTGATAATGTTGCTGCTGCTGCTGCTGCTGATAGGCATTTGGCTGTTCTTGGTACTGCGGGTATGGTTGGGGTTGGCCTGAATAACCAGATCCGGCGTCTTCAGATGGGAGTGCCCGCGTCTGGCTATGAGGGTTGCCGTCGTCCGGTTCATCTGGCAGCTCACGTTTCGAACCGCCGCCGCCCAGGAAACCTGTCAGTTTGTTCAATTTGTTGAGATTGGACATACCTGGAATGGGAAGGTTGGAGAGTTGATCCCATGGAATTGAGGAGGAAGCAGACGATGAAGTCGGGTGGGTTGAGCCCCCGGAAGGTCCAAAATGAGGCAGCCCGGGGATGTTGGGAAGATTCGAAAGGCTGGGGATGTTTGGGAAGCCGCTGTGAGAATGGCTTTGTGATTGGGCCTGGGATTGGTTATGGCTCCAGTAGCCATGAGATTGGCTATCGTGGCCGTGAGCAGGAGCATGTCCATACGGTTGATGTTGGCTTGGTAGGGTATGTCCATGGGTCTGGTGCTGGCTAGGCGAGGCATGTGTGTTACTATTGCCGTGAGCATGAGCGTGAGGATCGCCTCCAATATGATTCTTCCCCGCTTTGACACCCTCCGCACTAAGGATGTGATTGAAATTGAACCCTTTACGCGACTTTTCATGAGCCCAGCGTTCGACTTCCGCAAACATCTCCCGGTGTACTTCGTTGTCCGATCGTCGAAACGCTGGATGGTGGAAAACGAGAACACAGTCGTTCAACACTAGATCTACCGGGACATCAACATGTTGGAATGCATATAAAACACGAGGGACGACGAATTTCACCACAGCTGCAGCTACTCGTCCAGCCGGATCGTTAAGGATATTGCTAAAGTGATCCTTGGAGAGGAATGAGTGGGTGGGATCTGTGCAGGCCGGGTTTGTCCAGGGTTCGAACTGAACGCGAGCTTCTGAGGCTGTCAATTCGGATGAGCCAAGCTGTAGATTTGACGATGCTACTTTTATCACGGGCCGAATAAATGGAGCCAGGAGAGAAAAGATAAATATAGAGAGTGTTTCACCGATTTTCTCCATTAACGAAGCAAGGCCAGGAATTTTCTCTAATGCGGAGGATATGTTTCTGACCACCCTATCTCTAAATTCCAAAATGGGATAGATTTGAGAAATAGTTTCCTGAGGGTTGATATCCGTGGGTACGGATGCCCGTGACTGGCCATACGGGATCGGCTGGTTTAAACCTTGATTTCCATGGGGATCAGAATGACTCCTTGATGCCCCATAATCACCAAAGCCACGCTGTTGGTTTGCTTGGGCCTGAGCCTCTGATTTACGTTTCAAAGCTTCGGCTTCTGCAATGAAGCCTTTCATTCCGGGGACTTTAGAGAGCACGCCAGTGAGCGCACTCAAGGCTCCAGAGGAGCCCGAGCCTGCCTGCGCACTACCAAGTGCGTTGTCCATTTCATTTATTTCACTCTGAGTAAGGTTATCTGAGGCTTCCCCGAGCAAACTGTGAAAAAAATCTGTCATGCCAAACGTGCCAGTGACGATGGGGAAGACGTATTTTCCTTGGATGTTCATTTGGGTTCCCACCCCGACGTGAGGGAAAACATTATGATAGCCCATTTCGCGCAATACCAATTCGCAGTAATTACTGTGCGCCGAAAAGTCTTCCAAAGTATGGCAAGCTGCAAAAATAAGTTAGCTTTATACGGCAACTGTGGGATTTAGAACTGGGTTTCCGTGGCGGAATCACTGATACGGTTTTGCGATGAAATGTTTGTAAAAATAACTAACCAAAGCATAGGGGCTTTTTTACCTTGGCCAAGACACCTCAGAGCCTCACTCAAATGTTCTTCGCGACCTTTTTCATGACTCCCACCACCAAGGTAGAGCCTTCCAAAGTGTATACTTCGCGCAATGCTATACTTCACGAATCCAGCACTGGTTGCCCAATCGCCACGTTCGTTGGCAATGTAGTTCTTCATACCGGTTTGCGGGTCAATCTCAAGCTCAATAGGTCGAATTGGGGCCCGAAGCCGCGGATCACTATGAGTGGGTGTTAATGGATGTGTTGAATAATGCAAGGTATGAATGTTTGTACCTATACTTGTTTTGTTGGGGAAGAGGGGGTGAGAGGGGGTGAGAGACATACTACTGTCTAGCATCTTTATTATCCGCGTAGCCCTTTGGATTGCTGTATTAAATAGAATCGTTAGGTGTATAGTTTCTTGGAAGGGGGACAAACATCATCACCCCAAGAGATATCAGGCTTCAAGCAAGGGATTGAAAATCGACGTGATGCCACCATCGCAGCATATAATGCCTGTGCAGGATGGGGAAAGGCGGACGAACTCAATATGTTCCTCCGGCCTGTATACTCCAAGTCTGTCAGCTGTCACCTCAAATTCAGCGGTTGCGTATCCGATAGAGGTGAAGCTGAGAATCCAAACCAGGATCCGGATAGTTTTCTGCTGGGATTTACGATATGGTTCCCACATCTAGAGCTTGGGAGTAATCTCTCAACCCTATTATTGTATTATAAGTTAGTTGATTTTCCACTGCGATGAAATATTAACGCGAGGGGAATAGGTAGTCAGTTACCAATTCCCAAAATATAGACGCTTAATCATGATGCCAGTCCATTTGTGTCCTTTGATGAAGGCGAGGGCCTTCACGGTGTCTTCGATATCTCCATGGCGCCAATTTCTGCCCTCGACTACAGATATCGAAGCGATGTCTGAGAGAATAGTTCAAAAGACTAGGTATCAGCTCTGATATGGGTGATGCAATGTCAAGCCTCCTCTCGCCCACTGGCGCATGTTTGGGTTCACTGACTGAACAAAAATAAAATGATGGAAACATACTCCCAGCCCCAAAGGCATGCACTTGTGAGGGAAGCAAAACAAGCAAAATTGCTAAAATGAAAATGGCAAATGTGGTGCCTGAGCCCATCGTGAAGATTTGTCGATTGATCCCCTGCTCAAGTTGACGTTCGGAGGGGGAGTACGGCTGAATCAAGTTATTGTGGTAATATATGATCTTTAGTGTTAGTGGTAAATGTTGGAGAGAGCTGGAAGCTGAGAAAGTGAAAGCGAATTCGATTGACCGATTGATTTAGGCTTCCAATTCTGCAGTTGCTGAATGGCAAAAACCTGGTGAAGACTGCGAAATCGCGTCACAAAAGCCGGCTTCTTGAAAATATTTAAAACCCCCCAGCAAGGCGCACCACCGCCGCAGCTGGACCCCGCCATAAGATAACTTAGTGGGATAAATAGTGCAAGTGGATAAGGACAGTTCCATGATTCCTGGCTTAATCCACGTCCTTCAGCTGCGGTGGTCCTGCAGCTGTGCGCTAAGGCTGATTATCGGCAGCAGTCTTGGGAGGCTTGAACAAGCCCAACCGAATCCGCCGGAAATTCCTAGCCAAAGCTTAGGGCGAGAGCAGTCGGAAAGGCCACTCCGATTGAGAAAGAAAACTAGCGACACTGAACAGAGGAGGTTGTATCAAAAAACTCTTTGTTGGACACGAGAATGAGTTTCATCATCAAAAATCATGGTTCCAAAAAGTGAATACAGGAGAGTCCAATCCGGAAGCTTTGACGAAACTAGCTAGATATCATGCATGTTCTATTCTCTATCTGCCTACTTCTGTTTCTTTTCGATGCCTCGAATAAAATGCTTGAATGGTAAGATCTACCTCTGCGAGAGATTCTCAATATGGGTGTTGGAACGGGGGGATGTTTAAGATTAACCAGACACATTGGGTCCCGGTTATTCTGGCTGATTGATCGAAGGACGACTAGCTAGTTAATGGAATAGAGTGATCATCTTCATAATTCTCCGAAGCTTGGTGTGCGCTTTTCTTCTGCGCAAGTTGGCTGTCTTGAGTTTGAGAAGATTAACCATCCCACAGAACCTCAAGACTTGATGACTCATCCGCCCCTCTTGCTCCCCGCCGATTCTCTGTTTGTTGATATCAGTCGGTCAGAGCCATAACACGCGCAATTCAACCATCCAGGCATGAAAGGCCTGTCGTTCCCCAAAGAATGAATGGGGTTGGCTCCGGGCAATGTGTCGGTTCGAATTATTGGGCTGCATCCTATTGTTACGTCGCCGGTTTTGTAGGAGTGAGGAGGATCACTCTGCCGGGTTGTTCGCCTTGAATCTGCCCACGAGACGCATTTGCAATTGACTAATGCCTTATATTCTAGTAATCTTCACTCGTCAGCATGCTCCATGAGATACTCCTCGCCTTGTCGGGTCATAGCTCTCCCCTGTTTGATCAAGAAGAAGGCAGCTCTTCCAAAGACGGTGTTCCGTTCCTCTCCCCCGCTGAGCACGCCCTGCTCCAGCCTATAGCGGAACTATGTCGCCTTCACACGCTGCTGCGCAAACATACATTGCAGATTTCCTCATCGCACCCTTCCACAATATGTCGGGCAGTGTCAACCAATATCTCCACGGACCAATTGGGCAAGTTCCAGAAACAAATATTGGAGGTCGAGACAGCAGTCCTGGCCAATGACGCTCGGTATGTTGGTGGTCATGGGATTGTACCATTATCAACAATTCGCTCGGAATTTCTGCCATGGGTGGGGAGGCTACGATGGCTGTGGCAGATCGTACGGTTCATGTCTCCGATTTCGGGTGAGGAGAAAGGGATCTGCACTGGAGCCAGCTTGATTGATCACCTTCGAAATGAGTCGCATACTGGATATTTGGATCTCGAGGGAATGGCACTTCAACTGATAAATGCCGGAGAAATAGCGTTTATTCGCCAACTCTCAATGTTCGTCCTGTACGGCCAGTTGCCCTCATTTGGCCGTGAAGATTTCTTTATCCAAGAGGATCCGTCGACGGTTGACGAAAAACGAAAAGGTGCGGCCGACTTTACAATACGAGCAGATCTAATGCCAAATTTTGTGTCTTCGTCCACTGCCAACTCAATCTTATTCGTCGGCAAATCCTTGAATCATATACGAGCTCAAGGAAAGTTTTCTGCTGGCGACGAATCAATAGCATCGCTATCCAAGCTGACCCTGCACGGAAACTATCTCGATCATCTCTCTGCTCTTTCTTCACCGATAACCCCTGTTGGCCTTAGTGGTGCAATATCCAAAATAAGGGTTTGCCTATCACAGACTGCCTTGTCACAACTTCTGCCACTACCAAAAATAGTAGAAATCCTTTCCTTGTTGCACGATTTCCTTCTGTTGGGACGTGGCGAATTCGCTATGGGATTGGTGACATTTGCAGATAACCTTTCCAGAGGGAGGCATCGGAGGGCTGATCCATTGGGATTGGGGAAAGATAGTACCAATCTGTTAGAGAACCTCACCGTTAAGGAAGGCGAAGTGACTGCAGTTTTGTCTCAAACTTGGTCTGAGCTGTATTCCTTGCAGAATGAAGAAGATCCTGTTGATGATGAACTTGACCTAGCCAGAGAGATTCTGCACCTTTCCATCAAGGGCAAGTCCGGTACCAAACGGGCTTCTGCGAAAGAAGCGGCCGTTAGTAGCCCAATAATTGATATTTCTGACGTACCTTTCAACGATTTACTGTTTGGCACTCCCACAACGTTGTCTTTAAATGTCCAACCACCGCTAGATCTCTTTCTCTCCCAGGCTGATATGGGATTATACTCGAAAGTCCATTCTTACCTACTTGCCATTCGTCGAGGCCAAATTCACTTGAGCAATCTATGGAAATTGTCATCTCTTCGAAGAACTTATCCGGCCCCTCCTCTAGCGAACAAACGTGGAGGCCAGGCAAGATGTCAATCAAACCGGGAACGTGCTCTTACCCGAGCTGCTGCAATTAGACCTGTCTGGATCACGGCAAGCAGAGCACTTTTTATTCTGTCAGAGCTTACAGGCTATATGCACGGGGAGGTTATATCGAACTCGTGGCAACATTTGAAGCAATGGCTTGACGAACTTCGACCAGTATCCATGCGTGACTCGCGACCAGGAACGGCAGCCTCCGCAGCTTCCCAGCGCGAAATTTCGGGCTGCAACCTTTCAGCCAGGTAACCTAGATAAGCCCCAAACACAGAAAAGAGAATCAAGCTTTCCGCAGCATGACCCAGAAACGATCACAGCAGCCCACCGTGCGCACTTGGATATCTATTATCAATTCGTATTCCTAACAGATGTACCATTTACTCGAACACTTCGCACTCTCTTAAACGCCATTGACCATTTCATCGCCATGATCCTCCGTCTCGAGACGGTACAGCAAAACCTAGACCTGGAAACCGACGAGGGCGTCGTGGATTCCCTAGCCGACTACGCTGCGGAAGACAAGAGAATAATGCATGACCTACGCCTAGCAAGGGTTGAGGTCGACAATAACGTGTCGGATCTCATTTCCCGACTGCGGGATATTGACGATAATCGTCTTGGAGATGGCAAGCGACCGTTTGACCTGGGTCAAATTAATGTTGTTGCTAGTAATATAAATGGAGATGGGAGCATAAACATGTTTGGCGAGGGCGCCAGTGCATTCGTACCTTGGAAACCCGCTGGGGTGGATCAATTGCTGATGAAGTTGGACTTTTTCAGTTCAAGCCAGAAAAGCGATGTCGACGGATTTGAATTCGAGGCCCCGTTAACTTGAGAGAACCTTGTTACGATTTGGGGCTGAGTTGTCGCTGTGTGATCATGAAAGGTTGCATGGCTATATCCCGGCCTTCACATTTCACTGTTCTTATGTTCTTTACGATTATGAGTTTCACGTATGTGGCGTTTGCATTTTATTCGGGGTTTAGATTCGGAATCTCCCTAGACAAAATAGTTGGTAGAATTATCGCATAGCTTTGAAAATCACAGATAGGGGGAAATATTGAAACCTTAATTAATATTAATACTGCCACCTGCTCTACCACCCTCAAAAAGAAGAACCCTAAAACTTTCGACTATTGATGATGCAGCTATCTACTCAGTGTCAGCTTATCATTTTGGGATGCTGTGCTCTGCCCTTTTAAAGGATTCTGCATGACGTTTTGCCAAAGGAGGGAAGTCTTCAGGTATGAACATCACAAATTACGCGCTATTAATATATATCCTGATGCAATCTAATCTAACAAGATGACATCTCGAAACCATGCCTCAAAATACCTCAACCACCTAGCCAATCAAATAATATATATATATACATATATAACAAGCAGGGACCTCTGCCGATCACAAGATATACATGAATTGGCCGTCATTGGTGTTTTTCTCCCTTACAGCCCTCGACAAGCCAGCTGAACCAGAACCCAAACCTGAGCCAGAGGCAGAGTTAAAGCCAGAGCCACGTCCCATCAACCCTGCAGCCTCCCCTTCAACCATTTCAATCTCATCAGCATGCACATGTGCATCCACCGCGCCCGCACCCTTTCGCGCTCTCTCATTCTCCCTCTGCAACAGCACTCTCAGCACTAGCGCCAACGCCGCCACCAATAGCATGAACAATGCACAGACGGCCATGCCCCGTACATACCACGGCCCGTCTGCGCGCGGATACAGCCTCGTGCCAACGAGCGGCCCGCACTGGCCGATGATATTCAGGATTGCCATGCCGGTTCCCTTGCTTTCTTTCGCGGGCTGGTTGTCCATTGTCCACGTGACGATTATGGTGATGGAAGAGAAGAATCCCGCCGTCGCGGGGTAGATGGCTATGTATCGAATGAGGATTTGGAGGGTGGAAGAAAGATGGGAGTGGAAGTGGCCTGCTAGGGCGATGGTTAGGTAAGCGGTGGCACTGATGAGAGCGTGGATTATTAAATAGGGACTGCGGGAACGGTGTCGGTCAGAGAGGGAGCCGGTGAGGAGGACGACTAGAAATGAAAGTATGTACGGCGGGGCGGACAGGGCTTGGGAAGCTAGGGCGGAGTAGCCCATGCTGTTGTTTGATGAGGGTGGTTAGTTGCTGAATGCTCCTGATACGGTTGTTGCAAGTGGGAGAGACGAACTCTTTCATAATTGTGGGGAGGAAGACTGGCATTGAACTGAATGCGACATTGCAGCTAAAAAACATAAACTGGAGGAGCATGGGAATGTGTTAGTGAATCAGTTGAGCAGAATTGTTAGTAAATGAGGCAACCCAGAACTTACCGCAGTGAGATACGACTTGGGATCGCGCAGTTTCCGGCCGATATCACTCCACTTAAACTGACGTTTACGGAGTTTTTCTCTATCGCTCATTTTCAAGCGCATCTTTGCAACTTTCCTCTCTCGAGGCGTGAGATACCGAGCTTTACTAGGGCTATCGGGGACATAAATCCACGCAAATACAGCAACAATTACACTTGGAAATCCCTCGAAGAGCAACAATGCGCGCCATGGAGCGATAGGCCCATGTTCGCTTAGCTTCACAATGGCCCATGCTAGGGTGCTGGCGAAGGAAGTTGCAAGCGGCGCTGCGGATATAAACATCCCAGTGCGATAAGCCAGTTCCTCGCGTTTGTAGAAAAATGACAGGAAGAACGGAAGGCCTGGGCCAAAGGCAGCTTCAGCAATACCAAGGAGCGCCCTTAGCAGCACAATGGCCCAGAATGAGGAGACGAGAGATTGACATGCGGCAATAAGACCCCAGGAGAAGCAGCAAATGGAGATATAGACATGTGCAGGGACGACTGTATACATAAGTGTCATCCATTCAAAACAAATATATGTGATATAAAACGACGTAAGAAGCCATTCAAACTGCGGAGACCCCAGTTTCAGAGCTTTTTCCATTCCTGCGATCCTAGCGTTTCCGATATCTAGAAGGCACAATAGACCTTAGAAGATGTGATGCTTAAAGACCAAGATGAGAACTCACTGGATCGATCAACAAAGGACAGCATATACAATAGTGCCATAAACATGGTCAACCGCAGATCGAACTTCTGGACCACACGCCTTTCTTCTTCAAGAGTATAACTCTTTAAGGTAGGTTCATCTGTATAGCTATATGCTTCCGCTTCTTTCGGTGTGCAGTCTTCGCTAATATCACTCATGTCACTCCCGTAGGCACGATGCTCCAATTTTCGAGACTCTGCCAAGCTTTCATTATGCTGGTCGCTATGGAAATTGGTTTGAAGTCTCCTTAGTTCGGAAAGATGCTGTTCGCGGTGAGAGGACTGCGCATTCCTTTCTCTCGACCCCGAACTTCCATCTTCTGGAGTCAACAGGAAGTTCGAATGACTCGAGGAGTTTGTGGACGAACTATCCCCAACAGTCGAAGAGGAGGTTGTATTTATGAAACCGGAAGGAATAGGGGAGCGGTTTTCAAGGTTCAGCATGATAGGGACATTCTATGGAGTGCAGGGCTCCGTGGGATACCAGGGACAAAGGGCGCCGCGAATAGCCAACCGTGCTGAAAGGTTCCTACTTCATGGGATAGATGGGCCCGAAATATTTAGTTTACTCATAAGGTTAGAATCAACAAACTACCCCGAGGTTTAGGGGAATCCACAAACATTTTTCGCATGGCAGAGATGCAAAGAGATTGAGATCTCCTTGTGCTTTGGCACTGATCCAGATCACGTGAATAAACCAGTCTCTTTTAACTATCCAATCAACTGTGACACCATGTTTTGATGTCAGCTACCTTCTACCATGATGAAGGGCCAAAGCTTCATTTTCGACATTCATCTGCAAAGTTGCTCGACTCGGGGTTGAGGGTCGAGACAGGAAATGTGGAAGCGGCCGGCAATTTGTTTACCCAAGCTTGCTGGTAAGCCATTCCAGTTCGTTTTCGACTTTGCTGTCCAGCTCCTTTCATTGACGAATGCTAATATATGACATTTTTAACGTAGTTGACCATGACGACATTTTCAGGTATTCTTCAGGCAGGTGGCTGGTAGATGAGAAACAACAACTAGAGCAACGCTTTGTGAAATTCAATGTTGAACGCCTTTGCCGCGAAGCGGTCTCGTTGTTCAGGGATGCAACAAAATGGGTGCGTGTGGTTAAGGTAGAAGGGAACTTTTAACAAATCGTTCCTCCTCACAATGGACCATGGCAGCGAAGTTATCGCAAAGCTTCCATGCCGAAATGCGGGTACGCGCTCGCTGATAACGGCGTCAGAGGTGGCTACTTTGCAGTTTTGTACGTCTTGTGTGCTCGCTGTTCTATGATTCTTGAAACTGGTATTCTCGCCTTCAGTGAAATCTCGTACCTCGATACATGTTCCGGAAGTATTCGCCTGGAGTTCAGATCCGGAAAACCCAATAGGCTCGGAATATATTCTTATGGAGAAGATCCAAGGGGTTGCACTGGCTGAAAGATGGGGGACAATGAATCTGCTGGAACGCTACAAAGTAATTGACCAAATCGTTGAAATGGAAAAGGAACTGGGAAGCCTGGAGTTTCCTGCCTTCGGAAGCCTGTATCTACGAAATTCTTTACCTTCTGGATGTCGTCATTACCCGCTCCCATTGGATTTAGATCCTAACGGATTGTATTGCCTCGGGCTGTCATGTAATCAACAAAGGTGGGATAATGACCGCGCCAAAATGTCTGGTCCATGTGAGTTACGTTCTCTCCTTCATACCTCGATATCTTTTCTGACTTTTTGAAGGGCCATCTTTTTTGGAGTTTGCACTCTCTATTCCACAGCGGGAATTGGATTCCATTGGTGACCCGAAATCTGAATTACATCGTGTTGATCGATTCGGCGAGAGGCCGTTTTTGAAGGAGTATAAGATCCTTTTGCAAAAGGCGATAGACATCCTTCCTATTCTATCACGCGATCCGCGTGTGGTAGAGGTGGCAGGACCTACCTTATGGCATACTGATTTGCATTTGGGAAATATTTTCGTTTCACCTGACGACCCTACTACTATTTTGGGAATAATTGATTGGCAATCATCTCAAGTCGGTCCTTTGTTCATCCAAGCTCGATTTCCAGAGTTCCTTAAGCGGCCGAAGCATTACTATCCCGGAACCAAATTACCCACATTACCGGATAATTTTGATGACCTAGATTCGGAGCAAAAGGAACAAGCTACTCATGAAAATATTTTGGCATCGCAGTCCAAGTACTACGAGATGTCCAGTCTGGCGAACAATAAACGGGTGTACGATGCGTTGAAGCTTGATCGCACGATATGGGAGCCCTTCACATGTTGCCGGCGGTTCTCCAATGGCAGCGTGGTTCCGCTACGTAACTCTATGATACGCATTTCACAGGATTGGACTCTGCTTGGCCTTCCGGGTAACTGTCCTTTCTCGTTTACTGAAGAGGAGTTAAGAAGACATAATGAGCAGGCGGTGCAGTACCAAGACATGCTCTACTTGTGGGATATTGTGAAGACCCAACTCTCTACTGATGACTCCGGCTGGGTCCCAGTGGAGCGATGGAAGAAAACAAATGAGATAAATAGAAGTCTCTTTGACATGTATGTCGAAACTATGAGTGAAGAGCTATCACTAGATGCGGCATTGAAAAAATGGCCATTTCCGCCCAATGATCTTTGAGCAACTTATGTGGATAAACCGAGCCAAACTTGCACTTTCTGTTTCAGATAACTCTATTTGTTTATGCAGGAATAACTAACTGGTGAGTTAATCGTGACTGGGCCTCATGTTTGACGGACAACTAACTGCGTGTTTTGAGTAATGTCAGAACAACCTAGGATATATCCAGAGGAGTAAGGGTATTCATGAAGAGAACGATAGCCTGCATCGGACGCTCCTAGACATAAGAGAAGATCTAAAGGTTCACGATACAAGCTTGATCCCTTGCACTAGGAAATGCCCAGCAGTGATGTCGAGATCTGTTGCACCAGTTCATAGCCCCTGAACAATTGTTCTGGATTTCAGCAATTACAGGCGAAGAATTTTCAAAGCTTTTTTTGGCAATGCTGAAGAATATGGGGCGGTAATTATCTCTAAGAATCCAAGGTCACTATCCTGGATAAAATCATAAGAACAAAAAAAAGGCCAAAAAGGTAGAAAAAGGGACGGCTGATGAACCGATGTTGAGAACATGCGATTTTTAGCGGATATAGAACGACCCAACCATTAGGAACCAAAATTTAGTCAGATACCGTTTGAAGAGCTGATTGGTCTCTTTAGAACGCTATCTCAGATCAGTCGATCCTAGCGCAACGTTGGAGTTTGTATAATAGTAGTATATTTTAACGTTGACCCGACTGCCCGAACAAAATTGTCATCATCATACAGGAAAATATCGAAAGCTTAACACCAAAAAAGGGGTTTGCACGCGATTCTCATGTTGAAGGGGAGTGAAAACAACCCAGGGAATTAGGCAATCGTGTGCAGTGAATAGATCCTTCCTGCTACACTACCGCCAACAAGTCATCGCTTTTACGGACTTCATTTTGCTTTTCCTGATTGACATGACAGCCAGACACCATCTGTTCTTGAACTAAAATCTCTCTTCTACTTTGCGCTCTTGTTGGCTTTGTCGCCCATCATGGCGACTGTCTCCCTCACCCAACCTCCAACTTTCTCAGAAGTCGCTCGGAAACGTCGTTTGATGAGCCGGTCGGATGAAGAAATCGAGGACAATATAGACATACGAATCCAGTACAGGACAGGGTGGCCAAAGCTCGCTCATCTCCCTTTGAGGACCGTATACGAAGGCAACCCTGATGCATTCTTTCCAGATCGGCAAACCCATATTTCACAGATCATCACTATCCTCAGAGCACAGCAAATCCCTATAAGCTCCATTTCCGTCGTCTACCGCGTGCCGTATGGTGGCGACAACAGCAACAAGTTAGACGAAACTACTGCCACTTTACTTGTCACCACGTTCCCCGACGGTGACTATAATAGTTTTGTCGCAGCACGAGAAATTCGGAAATATCTCAATAGTCATGAGATACATGTTTTAATTGAGATCATTGATGAGAGAGCTTTAAAGCCAAGCGTCTTTCCCATTCTTCCTTCTGATAAGGAGCTTATCAGCATTTGGAACGAGAGGTTGAAACAGACAACAATCGATATTCTGAAAGCCAGTTGCTTGAAGGTAATCTCGATCAGTGTGTTTCGTTACAGTTTAGATCTCGACCCTGAAAAATGTCCGCCTACTGTTATGATTTCCGCATTGGATGCTGAAGCGGACGCGTGGTGGGCAACTATCTTGCCTCGCATACGCTCTATCTGTCTACCTGCCTTTGATGTTACAGTAATCTACGGGGATCAAATCATCATGGGGTTCTAATGAGCTAGATATGAATACCATTGATTCTTCTAACTTGACAACCATCAAAATGGGAGCTAGCTGCGGACCTATTGGAGGGACTTGGACTGGGAGTATGGGAGGCCCAGTACGGCTTGAAAAGGGCGGTGAGGATATGGGCGTGTTCGGCCTATCTAACCACCATGTGGTAAGGTCTGATAGCTTAGAAGCTGGTAAGTAAATAGCCCTTAGGGTTCTTCTATAGGACTTTCATTTCTATGCTCTATGCCAGATTTAGTTGGCTTTCATAGTTTGCTAATCAGATGCCCGGCAGTGACGGAAAATAACACCCCACTTCGTCCCACACATTCTTCTGTTAAATCGATGTCATTTCTTATCACGTCACAGAGTGACCGCGACACGGATCTGATACTCCAAACTACTGAGGCTGGAGTTGATGAATTGAAGAAAGTATTAAAAGGCAGGCCTGGTACACTGGGTCTTGAAGCAATGGCTGAGACGGGTGAACGCTCCAAAGCTAAATCGCTTGAAGCTGTTCAAGATCGTCTTGCCCGTGCTGAACATCGAGCATTGATAATAAAAGATGCGAACAGAGTACTTGGGAGTGTGTATGCCACCTCTGGTTTTCGTTTTTTATCAACCCAAGAGGGCAACTACGCACTGGATTGGTCATTAACAAAGCTACTGCCATCTCGAAGTTTTGATGATACCCCTTCAGTTGGGGCTCCTCACCAACTTTTAGAATCAATGTCAAATGCAAAAAGTTTCACAGACAAGATACACGGTGGACTGACGGTGGCGAAATTTGGCAGGTCTACGGGTTGGACAGAAGGGAAGGTTAGTGCGATAGAAACGGTGTTTTTGAAAGGTGAATCTAAGTACACACACGATGTCCTCGCGTGGCCTGTGGTGCCTTTACATCGGCACAAATATGACTTTGCTGCTCAGGGAGATGCGGGTGCGGTGGTGGTTGTCTCTGACGAGCTTGCTGTGGATTGTGGGTGCTGGGTTGGTTTGCTATTCGCCGCAAATCTAGCAGCAGGAACCGGCTTTTTTGTTCCGATGAGCTTGGTCCTTAAGGACATTTCTGAGATAACTGGCTGCCAGGTTGTTCAGCCCAGTAAAATATACTTTTGACGATATATGATGGTTGTGTGCGAATACCCATAAGAAGTAATATTAATAAACAATCACAAGCATAATCACAATTATGATCGATGATACCGTCTTACGGATCATTCCATCATGCTTGGGAGCGAACTGCAAAAGAGGTTAAGATACAGGGCAATAGAATGAAAGACTACGATGAATATTGCCATTGCGAAAATCGGTTTGCCATTTTAGCCTTTATTCCTAAATAAATCCCAGCCAACCTTTCCCACATTCTTCAAGAAAAGCGCCATATAATCCCGCCACCAAGATATGTGCCCATTGTATTTCAAAGCACCACAGCACCAAATCTAGGACGTCAAACACATAGAAGGACTCTTGACAGCTCCTCTTTGTACAAAATAGGCATGGCCAGTAGACCTCATACGGAGGTATTATTACGCAATTTTATCGTAAACCTCCTTCAGTATGGACGATAGCAATCACCCCTACGTCGAGATGCACGAGCGCAGCGCGACCGAGTCTCAGAAGAGCGCCTCCCATACCGCGATGACGCCGCTGATGAAGCAGCCGGTTTCCCAACACGACTGCAATCCACCTCATGGATCTCAAAGGGCCGTTTCCTCCCCCCGCTAAGCGTGATTGCCTTCTCCTTCGCCATCTGGAACGCCGCCTCCAGCGTCGGGACCATGTCGTGCTCCATGTTGCGGGCATGCAAATAGTTGAGGGCGTTTTCAGCGGTGTCACGGAGAAATTTGGCGGCGCGGGACTTTGCGACGACGTCGCTTTCTGAGATCAATTTGTATTCCCTCTGTGCGTTGGAGAAGGTCGTTAGGATGCGGGAGAGGCTATCTTTGATGGTTTTGAGCTCCGTTGCGTTGCTGAGAGGGCCGTTCTCGTCCTTATCCTCGTGTGTTTGGGCTTGGGCTTTGCCGTTTGGGATAGCCTTCGTTTCGGGAAGGGCTGGGATGAGGGCAATGGCTTGCTCGTTGTTGGTGCGAGTTGCTAAAATAGAGAGAACAATGTTTAGTATATGGGGCTGCATATTTAGTTTTTGATTTTATTCTCCGCTGCTTGTTCTCAATCTACAGTGAAATGATTTAAGTGAAATTTTTTTAAAGTAAAGGTCTCAAAAAACATACCATTTACCAACAGGCTCTTAACAGCTACATGTTTGACAACCAGGGCTTCAAGGTCGGCAGTTTCAACCCCCTTTATTCCCATAATCTCCTCAAGGAACAACTGGATCGCAGCCATGTAGCATGTTCCAGCACCCTTCTCAGACAACTTGAGCAGAGCCTTATCATAAATAGTGATCTGGCCATCTTCCAAGGCCTGTGACCGCGTCTTGACCAGGGACACATGGTGTTCAAGCACTTCATAGAGAAGCCGGAAGAGATCGGAATTCTTGACAAACTCTGACAGCATCGGTTTCACAGAAGAAGCATCGCGGTACTTCTCAGCAACGGCAGAGGACTCCTGGTCCAGCTTGGCGTTGGCTTTGTGGGTTGAGTGTTGTCCATTGGCGAACTCAGGGTCATCGTACATCGCGTTACCGGGAGACATGACGAGGACAGAAGGGGATGATGGGATGATGGGATCTTTTAGGCTGATATTTACGTCTTCGATTCGAGGATGTCTCGTTCTCAAGATAGGGGGTCCCAGTGGCTTTGGACTTGTGCTGGGGGTCAAAACAAGTCTCGAAGAATGTTATTGAGGCCGTATGGCGCGAAGAAAAGACGTTCATGTAGGAGAGGATAGACGCGTTGAGATCAAAACAGACCCCTGTGGATGAGGGGGTGTGTGTGTTGTGAGTTAATATAACCATTGGTTATGCGGCATTGGGTCTTGAAAGTTTTTAGATGCTAGACTTGTTTGTTGAATAAAGAGGAAACAGAACCAGAATTAACATCGCAGAACTTATCCTATCTGCTTTGACGCAACAAAGTCCAGAGAGTCTCAATCAAAGGAAGAGCATCTCCAAGACAAAAAGGACTTCTAGTAGCAATATTGCTGCCACCACGGGGTCTAGGATCCGTAGTCATAATTTTAGCGGAGTTAGGAAAAGTAGAAACTCTTCAGCCGAGAAACTCATTAGGAGGAGTGTTATTCAATATGCTCAACAGAATTTATTGAATCAATGAAATATCAACAACTCCTCAGTGGATTGCCTCGCAGTTGGATATAAAGATTCCTATTCAGCAAAGTACAAGAAGAAAGAACCTTGGAGAGATATGGTCAGGTGAAAAAAATCTCCTGTTAGGAAAAAACAAGGAAAGGAAAATATTGTGACAGGGCATTCAACATCATTCATGGATTAATGCACATGGTATAAATATAGAAGATAATAAAAGGAAACACAGTGTACATAACCAATTATAGGATCATATTTTAACACAAAGGGTTTTCTGACAGTGAGCATGAGGAATGGTCGAGATGTTCGATTCAAGAACCATATCACAAAGGATATCGAAGGTAGGCGGAGCTACGCTAGCGTAGGATGGGTTTTCTTTTTTCCTTTTTTTTTCTTTTCTTACCCCGACTGTCGTAGCAATGTTTCCGAGCCGTTGTTGTAAAGACTGTTGATCTCTTCAACAAGCGAGGAGACCTCGCCTCCACGCGATTGGCAATCTCTCCACTGACCACCGTCACGAATACACCACGTTTTCTTATTGACACGAACGGTACAACTCGTTTGGATCCCCAGCGCAGCATTGCGAATGAAATCGGACCTGAGCAGCGCAAGGCCGCTGGCTTCGCCCGGACCGTGGATGCCGATACGTTTGGTGTCGTCTTCATCGTCTTGGCGACTGAGGCAGGCATTGAGAGCATTGAAGTCAATGCCGAACTCCATAGCGCAGCTTTCAACCAGTGCTCGCTCCGGTATCTTCTGATACGAAGATAACAAGCAGTTGGCAAAACCAAGCGAGCGCACGACAGGCGTTGTATTATTATACGCCTCTGAGCTGGGAGGGAACGGGAGGTGAGCGGCGCAAAGAATAATCATGTCACCAAGACACTCCTCCGGTCCGTGCATGCACATTAAATCTGAGGATTCATTCGACGCCCTAGTTGGGTTTAGATTAGCAGCGTCGATAGAATGATAAGAAACAAGGATGTTTGGCAGAGAAAAGAATATGTGTTCTACCTTCCTATAAAGGACAATCGGAAATCAACCTTATGATACACTTGAGCCATAGCTGGGACAATAAGTTTATCAAGACAGTAGCTAGCATCGGGGCATTTGCTCATAATGTGTGCCTCCAGGGGAACCCGACCGCCTACAGTCCCCTGGCCGTGGTTACGATAGCTCCCTCGGAGCGGCCAAACTGATTCCACGGTTCCGCGCCCATTCCTAAACATGTCAATATATCCAGCTGGCAGTGGCAGCCTGCGCATCAAAGCGAATAAAGTCATGGAAATGCATGATAAAATTAATGAGCGGCGGATGAGCTGGTATGCTCTGCGTCGAAATGAGGAGCGGCGTGGCCTGGCTGGATAATCCATGTGGTTCTCGCGGATTTGCTCGTCTTATTTTGTTGCGCTTTGCCCGGTATGTTTAGGATTCTGTATATAATCACAGCCCCGGACTTCCAAGGCAGCAAAGCAGCTGGCGGATAATTCTCGAAAAGGGCCTCACCGCGTAACTACACAGACTGAATGCACTTCGTCTAGATAAAAGCACCCCGTGGACAGATCCATGGATGTTGCCAAGCCACGTGACCGGCCTGGTGATCTTATGGAAACTCCCCAACAGAAACTCCTTAAGGCTAACTAAGCCGCCCGCACTTCCTTAAAAGCTTCGCTCTCATTGACAGGTTTCGCCGGGAGAACCCATTGGCCCAAAGACTAGGTACGAAAGGATAGCAAACATCTGTCCACTTTACAATAGTTAACCCAAGGAATGATATCGACTGGCTGGAGAAAATCCTTCAAAGATATACTCGCTTTGTATCGTGGCGCTGATGAGAGCAGAGTTGCCCGGCGGCTTGCATTCCGCCCAGTCCCAGCGAGAGGACACTTTAAGTTACAGCATTCCTATCATCGTCATTTTAGAACTGAACTGATACAGAAATAAAAAGCCATCTAGCTATCCTAGCCGGGCGAACAGGATATCGGGTCTATTCTCCTGCATGAAATCTGCTAACTGCTGCTGAGTGATGACAAAAAGGGGACGGAAAAACTGGAAATCCAGTGGTAGTATTGCTCCCATCTCCCAGGGGTGGGCGATCCAGGGATAGCCCACGAGAACGTTCGTAAAGCATTCCCGATATTTTTTCCATTCTCTGCTTCAGCTGAGTGCACTTTCGGTTGAGGTGAAAAGGGTGAAAAGAGGGCTTCCATAGATATGTAGATAGCTCCAGCAATTGAGAATATGGGACAGCGAACTAACCCGACCGGATCAGCCCTGAAATCCAACAGCAAACACCCGCGGCAAATCAGTTCAAGTCCTTTCCAGAGAGAATTGGAGAAGCTGCCGAAAACAAAGCCTGATCAGCATGTGGAGTGTTCGCGAACGAGGTGGCTTGGGAAAGGCAGAATACCTCCGCCAAATCACGCAATACTAAGCGTTTTTATCGTCAATTAAGTGCCCTGTTGATCCAGCCAAAGGTCCATCGCGATGGTTTGAAACGAACTGAGGTGACATCCACGCGGACGGACGACAATCAGAGCAAGGCGGCAGGGAATTTGTTGTTGCAGATCAGCTAAGCCGGGCCCCAGGGGTGAATCCGGCAACCACTACCGAACCATATCCCACAGGGGCCGCTGAAACGGGCAGATCAATGATGACGATAAAACAGGGGTATCGCGATCAGGTGTAACGGAGCATCCGTCAACTTCTTGAACCTCTTGCTTGGAACTTAATCCTGGCTAGTATTGGAGCCCTTGACGGCGATGTCAGGGCCCCATGTAGTGATCTCTGCACGACTTGCATGCCGCTTAATGGTGATTAAACTGCTCTACAGGGCTACATAGCAACATGCAAA